TGGCGGGGCGCAGCTAACATCTAGAACTTTGCCAGTTTCCTGCCTTATTTTGAGATTTGCAGGATGACCGGGTCCAATGAGGAGCTCTGCGAAGTGCTAGGCCAAACGTTTCCACTGGCCATCAAGATCTTGAACTAACTCATTGTACTCGATTTATGTAGCAAGTCGATTGAATGCATTTCTTTGCCACCTTGGTGATGGCACTCATCCAACTATACAGCATTTTCCAGTCCCTTTCGCCACCGCCTTTTCCAATTCCAGCGCGTCCAGGTCCAGTCATCGTTGCCTGTACTTCCGGTAGGTCATTTTGAGCGCTTTCGTGAGAAAGTGATACGTTCAAATCTTCATAGTCATGTAATGATGAGTGCTTCGCCGAATTTATTTCATGACGGACTGAAAGTTTCTGTCGTGACCCAATGGTGGTTCGTCTTGCAGGCTGCTGTTTCGACAGTGACAACAATGAAGTCTTCTTTAAGGCGATTACAGAGCAGCTCCGGGTCTTTGAAGGTGATGGCGTCGTTAGTAACAGCGAACTGTATGTCAGAGCGGACATGTTCGACCAGTTGTTGCCAGACGACGGCAGAGATTCGTGACCACTACGAAGTAGACAGTCTCGATGCCCGTAACTCCTTTCGCCCGAGTGCCACAGAAGATACCTTACAATTTGTCGCTGATCAGGATGTGATCAATCTGGCTTCTGAAGTAACCTCCTGGCGTCACCCTCTGTTGATGGATGCGACGATGCGGACCTGAGCGTTGAGGACCCCGGGGACGATCGATAAATGATGTCGCGAAAATGAAAGAGGAATCAAATGAAGGATGGCTTACAACTGACTTCTTCGGATCCTCCGCAACGTCGGTACGGCGACCAAGTTCATCTTAACGTGTCTCGTTCAGCATCAACAAATGATTAGGTGTTATTATTATTAGACAAGGTCACTCGTGTATTCGCCGGAAAGCAAAACGTTCGCTGCTCCGGGGGGACTACAGATCTGCAGCTCCAACCTCGCGGCGAGTCCTGATTGTCAGACCAGAAGAACTAGTA